TTGGACCCTCGCATACCACTGGCATCAATAACATTAAATCCACATACCAATCATTTTATCGCTAAATTTTGCCTCGCATAGCGCAAAAAAATGCGCTCAACGCTATTCGTCCGAGACACGTCTAATGTGGGCCTGAGCCAGCTTCACATTTTCCCGCCATGGCTTGTTTACAAGCCACCTCTTGGAACATCCAAGCATACAATGGGGAACTTTCTTTATTATACGCATTTTTGGGTGATTTCATCTGCAAAATAAGTGACCATGGGCCCCAAAAAAGCTTCTAGTCCAACCCTACAGGAAAAAGGGTAAAAAATTACTTTAGAGATGAAGAAAGAAAAATCACCAAAGTATGAAAGTGGAGTACGTGTCTCCCGGGCCCGTTGTATATAAACCCCAATCAACCACGTTACTTTGGTCCAAGAAAAGGGCAATCAAGGAACTGTTCTTCCCAAAGGGGAAAACTGCGTTTTCAAAACAGAGCCCCCGCAAGGGATAGAAGATGTTGAGAACTCTTTTTGGTGGGGATAAAAAAAAACAGATAGCAGGAGATAGCTCTCAAAAGCGATCAAAAAGTGAAAATGCTAGGAAGTTGCATCAGGTTTTAATTAGAAAAATCCCTGAAACTAGTGGTCGATAAATTTTAAAGGGCCGCAAAGGTTGGTTTAGAGATTTAACCCTTTTACTGGGCAACCCCCAATCCTGGGTCTCCTGGTGTCAAAAAATTTTAAAAAAAAAAAAAATTTTTTTTTTCTTATAAAAATGATAGAAAATTTTTTTCCCAATTATAAAAAACCCCAAAAAAAAAAACAAAATTTTGAGGGAAAAACTGAGGGAATTAGCCCCGAATTTTTGCGCCCTCGGGCTGTTTACAAATCGGCGATTTCGCCCTTTTTGAGCCTATTTTCGGCTAATTCCATTTTTCCCCATCCCCCAACTATAGCTACTTTTTTAGAACTCCATTTTTTCATAAATTGAGTACAAGAAACTGCCCATTTCTGATTTGAATCCCTAAAAATGTGGCGAAATTGAAATTTTGGGCCCAAATTTTCCGAAAAAAAAAATATGACAATTTCAAAATAATCCGAATAACAACAGACATTCCTGGCTCTAAAATAACATTTTCTTTGTTCATCATCATGTCTCAGGCCCCTCCGTATTACCTTCTTTTATTTTGAAATTTTTTTTTTCAAACAAAAAATAGAAGACCATTACAGACTACTGAAATACTGTAAAAATTGTATAAATAACATCAACCCATTCATGATGCATATTAGAATGGCTAGTTGGAAAATTATTGGACAATGGCACATTTTTTTACTTTTGAACATTGGCAAAAATAAAACATTTCCCATACTTTGAGCCCCTTTTTCTAGGTTCTTTTATATAAAATCAATAAAAATCACCCTTTTTCTATAATATGTTTTCCATCTATAAAATGAGACCAAGAAAACGAGAATATAAACAAAATACACCAAAAATAGCCCAAAAAGTCGGCTTTTTTAAATTTAAAAAAAAACTGCGGAGTTTTTTTTTTTTCTACTATGCACTGCGGTCCGGGATTTTTTTTATATGGTGCACATGCCCACACAGACCCTTCCTCACATGTGGCCTACAGCTTTCCCCTGCTTGATTGAAGCCGCTAAAATTTTAAATTTTTAAAATTACGTCAAAAAACGGTCCTCGTAAGACGTTTATATACGCCACGACAGAAAAAAGGGTTAAAAAGTAGGCCCACACAGTGTGAAAGGGCTTTTGGGATGCTCCATTGGGACCACAAACAGCTGAAAAAATATGTGCATGAATTTCAAGGAGTACTAGACATAAAGGGACCCAAAACCTAACAAGTTTTTAATTGTGAAAAAAAGGGCCTTTTTTGGGAAAGAAAATCCAAGCGGGACCTAATTACTCAGGAGGAAAAGGGACTCCCCGGACAAATCCATGAAGACAGGCTTAAATCTGTTTATTTTTTTGGCCAAGCTATGGGGATTGCAAAGTGAAGCCTTTTTTAGTGTACACTCTGAAACTCCCCAAACGTTAGGCAAAAGAAAAACCCCAAACTAAAATTTTGTGTGCTGTGGGGGGCAAAAAGTAAGGGATGAGTCCTAGGACTTTTTCTAAAAGACTGGTTACACCAAAAATTTGCCCCCCCTGTGAAAAATTACCCCAACGAAAAAAAATTAGACCTTAAGTGCCTCCTGGGGTTAGACAAGCCCCTGGTTCCTTTTAGACTTGGCAGAGCGACTTTGTGGGGACATGAGCTTCATTAAAGGGGAAATTTTTTTCCTCCTAATACCACCCTCTTTGCACCCCTGGCCCCGCAGGTTTTTTGCAAAAATTCAAAAATGTACAAAAACCTTTTGAAAGGTGCTTTTAATAAAACCCAGAAACCAATTGACTAAGAAGTTTTTTAGGTCACTTAAATCCCCAATTGTGTAAACCCTTTTAAAGGGAAGGTGGAAGGGGGTGACAAGAGGACCTTGAAAATCTGGGTTGGAAGAAAATGTGGCCAGAAGTGTGACCAAAGGGATTTTGAAAAGGGTTTGAGGGTAACCCCGGAGCGTATTCCATTTTGGGGAACCATTGTGGGGATTGGGGGAATCCTTGAGGTTGGAGGTTAGTGGGGTTAGGGAAGAAAATTTGGGGGAGGGGACAATGAAGAACTAACCCCTGATGAGCTGTTAGATTCTTCAAAAAGCATGAGGGCCCCAACCGAGGAAAAAGCTTGGAGGAGGGGAGAGAAAATTGAAGAAGTTGCCCACTCAAAGATTAAGGAAATTTTGGGGGGGGGGGGGGGGGGGGGGGGGGGGGGGGCCTAAAGTGCAAACCCTTTAGGATGAAAATCACCCTCAGAAGTGTTGCAAGCCGTGTTTGGGAACCTGTACACTGACAGTGTTTGAACCACTTTAGGAAAGTCATAAAGGGAAAGAGAGGGACAGACCTTATGGACAGACAGTTTTCGACAGAAGTCCCGTGACTCTGAAGCGGGTCCCGTGGCATTTAACCCTTTCAGGGGGCCGTCCCGTAATCTCGGCTGTACTTTCAGGGTCCAAAACCCTGATCTCGCCATGATCAGCTTTACTCTGATAAACTGTGAGTGGTACATTTTGGGGGTAGATATGAGAGAATACATCTATGGTTGGTGCACCCATAAAAAAGACCGCAGCACACTGTGTATAATGAGAGAAAAAATGAAATCATGATTTTTCGATTAAAACAGCAACTTTGCAGTGTTTTTTTTTTGAGTTTTTTATAGTTGTATTTGCGATTTCTTGGTCTCATTTGATAGAAAAGGAAAACATATTACGAAAAAGAGATGATTTTTATTTGGTTTTTCGCACGGGGAAAGGCTTGAAACGAGCTCAAAGTAGCGGAAATTTAAATTTTTGCCCATATTCAAAGTAAAAAAAACGACCTCACACATCAATACACTCCTGGTGGGTCTAATATAAAATTTACAAATAGGGGGATGATATTTAATAATTTTAAAGTATTGCATAAAAGTAAAACTTCATTTTTTTTTTGAAAAAAAATTTATTATGTGAATAAAAAAAAAAATGGAATTTATTTGTAAAGCCCAAAAAATAACTAATGAACGAGGAAATGTTAGTTTAGTGCCAGGGAAAGCCTCATTGTTCATTCTTTGGGCCCCATTTTGAAATTGGGAATATTTTGAACTTTGTGTTAAATTTTGGGCCAAAATTAACAATTTCCGATCACTTTATTTTTTAGTTTGAAACAGTTACTTGGGCTTTTTTTTTTTGTGCCAATCGATAGAATAGAAATAAAACTAGTGAAATAGCTAAAAATTTTGGGTTATTTGGAATAATGTAATTTGGCCTAAAAGGGAGTAAAGTCGGCAAAATGGCCAATTCAAATATCGCTACACATCAAAATTCCGAGAGCATAATTTCGTCAATTTTCCCCCCAAATTTTTTTACTTTTTGTTTTATTACCTTCACAAAAATATTCTCTACGATTTCATAAGAAAAAATAAAAAAATTTTTTTTTGAAAATTCTTGGAGACTGGTGCGTGACTCCAGATTTGGGCCTTGGACCCTGAAAGGGTTAAAAGAAGGGAAGTAACCCCGGAAAAGGGCTTGCCACCTCAAGTCCTAATGGAAGGGGATTCCCCTTCTAAACACTAAGACCATCAACACTCTCCCCTCCTCCCATCTCATCAATCATCACCAGATCTTCAATAGAGCTAAGTGTCATGTAACTGTGCATGTCTTCTTCAGTTTGTGTGTATTAAAATTAATATTTCATGTGGTAAAAAAAAAAAAATTTCATACTTTTGGGTGTCAGGAACAGATTAATTTGATTTCCATTATTTCTTATGGGGAAAATTAATTCGCATAACGATAATTTCGCATAACGATAATTTCGCATAACATTGAGCTCTCAGGAACGGATTAATAGAGTTATGCGAGGGTTCACTGTACAGTGGTACCTCAGTATTCGACAAGCTCCCAACTCAAACAATTATGTAAAGGTATTATTGTAAATGTGTTTGTAAGTGTATTTTGGGGGGTCTGAAACAGATTAATCTACTTTACATTATTCCTTATGGGAACAAATTCTTTCAGTAATCAAACAGATCAGCACGCAAACAGCCTTCTGGAACAAATTAAGGTCGCATACCAAGGTACCACTGTATAAAGATACAGTATATAACATATCCCTCCAAACTGCCGATATCCCAAACCCCTCCTTGAAAGTGCATGCACTGCACTTCCTATTTCCAGTACTCAAGTCCGGCTATATAAAAATCACCGGTTTCCCTGAATCCCTTCACTAAATATTACCCTGCTCATGCATGCTACATGAATATGAAAAAAAATAAGAAATATGATGGAAATGGGCAGAAAATACACAGACTACACTCAAATCAGTTAGCTTATAGTCTTACAAGCAATAAACTTTAAAAATGGACTTAACATTAACAAGACAAAAATAGTTATCAAAATATAATTTATAAAACAGTAACATACAGTACTTACATCTTTTTCCTTTCCCTTGGAAGACTTGAAATTTAGGAGAATTTATTAGGACAACATTTCAAATACTGTATTTATATGTTCTGATGAAATACGTATCTAATTTAAATATTTGTTACAGAACATCATGATGCACTGAAAATAGAACTACAGTACTTAGATAATAGAAAGCTCCAAATACAGAAGGAACATCTACAATAATTTTAGTACATGTACTCACCTACTTGTTATATACATGTGACCAGTATCGAGTATCACTATCCTTGCAGCCTGGCCTAAGGCCAGACCTTTCTGCTGATTTGCCTATTCAACTCAGCTGTTGCTAATGGTGACCAGTTGGTACACATAGCTATCATAGCCTGAGTTACTTGGCACCTAGTGAGGTAGTGATCCAGTTTCCTCTTGAAAATGTCTACACACTTTCTGGTGAAAATTTTTATATCTGCTGGTATAAGGTTGAATAGTCTTGGACCACAGATATAATAATATCCACAGTTAAACTCCGTAATTCATAGGAGTTAGGTTCCTGGAGGCAATATGAATCCTGAAGATACAGATAAATGGAAATTTTGTAGGTCTGAATTTAAAAAAAAAAAATGGTGCCTGTATTTTTAATTGTTTCTCAAACCTGCCTAACACTGAAATTCACAAGAATGAGAATATGATCAAATCATGCAATCTACAAAGCACACAAATTCTTAGGTTCAACTATACTGTATTTACACAAATTAAGTGCATTACTGTACTTAGTGGACGAAAATGAGTAGAGGTAGATATTGAGATTGCAGACATGGTGTCTTCAGTACCATAATTAGGATCTTCTGATTATACATGCAGTAGGGCCCCACTTATACGGCAGGTTAAGTTCCAGGCTACTGCCAGAAAGCAGACGTCGCCAGAAAAGAGGAACACTATTTTTTCACTTATAAATGCATACAAATGCCAGACAACAAGTTTACACTAACTTATATTAAGTTAGTAATAGAACTAGGCATTAAAAAAAAATTAAAAGAAAAATATATACACAGTACATTGATTACTTACCCTAAAATAGTATTTGTAATCTTAATGTAGGGCAAAAGGTGAGTAGTACGTATGTGTAGGAAGTCAGGTGTAGGTAGCCAGTAGATATAGGTATGTACCCCTCAAGGAAGGTTCCTTGATGCTGGTAAGGGGCTCTTGATCAAGGGAATTGGATCTGTGCTCCAGTTCCCTGAATTAAACCTGAATACCTTCCACAGCCCACAGGTGATATATAATCCTATGGGTTTAGCACTTCCCTTTTATAATAATAATAATAATAATAATAATAATAATAATAATAATAATAATGTAGGTATGTAGTTTGCCTAGGCTACATACCTACACCAACCTACACAGCTACAAGATATTTAATGTGGCCCAGAGCCTTATTATTACCATCAACATACCATGTTCACCGAGTTTAATCGTTTCTAACAACAACCTTTAGATGCCATCATTAACAAAGGTAGAAGTAATGAATAATTCATGCTGAGAATTATGTTATGTGTGAAGAAAACATCATAGATGGATTAATGAAAATTTCTATATTAACATAAAATAAGACATTTAATTAATGTGCCCAACAGTGATTATTACATATTAGTATTATTAGTATGGTGTTAAGACTAGAGGGACACACTTAGTGATTTTAATATGTACCTGCACGCCAGTAGCGTGTGTAAATATACTTTGGTACAGGTACACATAAGTATAATTATCAGAGAACATGTAAAATATGCAATAACTTTAAAACACTTGAAATTTTGGAAAGTTTCCAGACATAGTAGAGAGATCTTCTCATGGAGAATGTAAATAAACCAGGTGGGGCATGCCATATTAGAAAGACCGCTCGCCGTATAGTGTGATTTGGTCATACTGTAATTTGAAATTGCCGTATTAGCGGAACACCATAAAGCGGGCCCCTACCGTACTGAAAAACTCAGCCTGTGATACGATCATGATAAACAAGGATCCAGAGATGATTATGATGGTTATGCTCTTGGAGATAACTCAACACCCACATTAAAGCAGTAGCTGTGAGGCTAGTGTTGAATACTAGTCGAGTCACTATTTGCTGTAACACACATACTTTCCAGGGGAACTCAGTTTATGGCCAGCAATGATGCATGGTCTAATTGATTAGCTACCAGAGTCACTTATTCTATGAAAAACATCTGCCTCTTGGCTCTCCAGAGTCAGATTGTAAGGGTGAAATGATGGTGGATATATGTACGTGTGCGTATTGATAAAGAGCTTCGGATGTTAAACAATAGTACACCAACTCATTACAGTAGGGCCCCACTTATACGGCAGGTGAGGTTCCAGGATACCGCCGTAAAGCGGAAATCGCCGTAAGTGGAACACCCTTTTTTTCCCCTTATAAACACGCTAGATAACAGGGATATCTTGCTACTCCTACTTACACTTTGGTCACACTTCACAGACACGCACATGCATATATATATATACATACATCTAGGTTTTTCTCCTTTTTCTAAATAGCTCTTGTTCTTTTTTATTTCTTCTATTGTCCATGGGGAAGTGGAAAAGAATCTTTCCTCCGTAAGCCATGCGTGTCGTATGAGGCGACTAAAATGCCGGGAGCCCAAAGGGCTAGTAACCCCTTCTCCTGTATACAATTACTAAAAAAAGAGAAGAAGAAAAACTTTTAAAACTGGGTTGCTTAAATGTGCGTGGATGTAGTGCGGATGAAAAAGAAACAGATGATTGCTGATGTTATTTAATGAAAAGAAGTTGGATGTCCTGGCCCTAAGCGAAAAAAAAGCTGAAGGGGTAGGAGAGTTTCAGTGGGGGGAAATAAATGGGATTAAATCTGGAGTATCTGAGAGAGTTAGAGCAAAGGAAGGGTAGCAGTAATGTTAAATGATCATTATGGAAGGAAAAGAGAATATGAATGTGTAAATTCAAGAATTATGTGGATCAAAGTAAAGATTGGATGCGAGAAGTGGGTCATAATAAGGCTGTATGCACCTGGAGAAGAGAGGAATGCAGAGGAGAAGAGAGATTTTGGGAGATGTTAAGTGAATGTATAGGAGCCTTTGAACCAAGTGAGAGAGTAATTGTGGTAGGGGACCTGAATGCTAAAGTAGGAGAAACTTTTAGAGAGGGTGTGGTAGGTAAGTTTGGGGTGCCAGGTGTAAATGATAATGGGAGCCCTTTGATTGAACTTTGTATAGAAAGGGGTTTAGTTATAGGTAATACATATTTTAAGAAAAAGAGGATAAATAAGTATACACGATATGATGTAGGGGCGAAATGACAGTAGTTTGTTTGGATTAATGTTATTGGTAGATAAAAGACTGTTGAGTAGACTTCAGGATGTACATGTTTATAGAGGGGCCACAGATATATCAGATCACTTTCTAGTTGTAGCTACACTGAGAGTAAAAGGTAGATGGGATACAAGGAGAATAGAAGCATCAGGGAAGAGAGAGGTGAAGGTTTATAAACTAAAAGAGGAGGCAGTTAGGGTAAGATATAAACAGCTATTGGAGGATAGATGGGCTAATGAGAGCATAGGCAATGGGGTCGAAGAGGTATGGGGTAGTTTAAAAATGTAGTGTTAGAGTGTTCAGCAGAAGTTTGTGGTTACAGGAAAGTGGGTGCAGGAGGGAAGAGGAGCGATTGGTGGAATGATGATGTAAAGAGAGTAGTAAGGGAGAAAAAGTTTAGCATATGAGAAGTTTTTACAAAGTAGAAGTGATGCAAGGAGGGAAGAGTATATGGAGAAAAAAGAGAGAAGTTAAGAGAGTGGTGAAGCAATGTAAAAAGAGAGCAAATGAGAGAGTGGGGTGAGATGTTATCAACAAATTTTGTTGAAAATAAGAAAAAGTTTTGGAGTGAGATTAACAAGTTAAGAAAGCCTAGAGAACAAATGGATTTGTCAGTTAAAAATAGGAGAGGAGAGTTATTAAATGGAGAGTTAGAGGTATTGGGAAGATGGAGGGAATATTTTGAGGAATTGTTAAATGTTGATGAAGATAGGGAAGCTGTGATTTCGTGTATAGGGCAAGGAGGAATAACATCTTGTAGGAGTGAGGAAGAGCCAGTTGTGAGTGTGGGGGAAGTTCGTGAGGCAGTAGGTAAAATGAAAGGGGGTAAGGCAGCCGGATTGATGGGATAAAGATAGAAAATGTTAAAAGCAGTGGGATATAGTTTTGGAGTGGTTGGTGCAATTTTTTTAATAAATGTATGGAAGAGGGTAAGGTACCTAGGGATTGGCAGAGAGCATGCATAGTTCCTTGTATAAAGGCAAAGGGGATAAAAGAAGTGCAAAAATTATAGGGGGATAAGTCTGCTGAGTATACCTGGTAAAGTGTATGGTAGAGTTATAATTGAAAGAATTAAGAGTAAGACGGGGAAAAGGATAGCAGATGAACAAGGAGGCTTAGGAAAGGTAGGGGGTGTGTGGACCAGGTGTTTACAGTGAACATATAAGTGAACAGTATTTAGATAAGGCTAAAGAGGTCTTTGTGGGATTTATGGATTTGGAAAAAGGCGTATGAAAAGGGTGGATAGGGGGCAATGTGGCAGAAAGTTGCAAGTGTATGGTGTAGGAGGTAGGTTACTGAAAGCAGTGAAGAGTTTTTTACGAGGGTTTGTGAGGCTCAAGTTAGAGTATGAGGGAAAAAGGGGAAAATTTTTTTCCCCGTTTAAAAAAAGGCCTTAGACAGGGGTGTGTGTGTCACCGTGGTTGTTTAATAATTTTTAATGGGGGTTTCCTGGAATGGAAAGTACAGGGGCCTGCACTTTTTTTAATGTATTTCTTCTTTATCAGATCTCACTTCCCTGGTAATTTAAAAAAAAAAAAAACCCAAATCTTCGGTGCTCCATAAAATTTTTGTATAATAGAAAACCATTCACCACTCTTCAGTTTTCCATGCAAAAAAACAGAAACCCTTTTTTCCCTCATTTTCAGTTGTCGTGACTTTATAAAAATGCAACCTTTTCCTCATCTCCCGTTGATGTTGAAAATTAATGTG